TTATATGTACATATTCTTCACTGCATAGCACATCTTTCTACTGTAGGAGAATCTGCTCCCCCAGATATGCCACTTTGGCATAAGGATTGTTTTGAGCTGCAGGCACTTGAAAAACAGCAGATGAGAGAAGGGCATGGGAATCTCTTCTTTTCTTCCTGAAAACAAGAGATGAAAAACTTCCACGCGCAAGATGCTTTTCCCCAGACCAGCAGGAAAAAAGCATTATTCCTCAGTGTGTCAACATGGCCACAAGATTTCTGTACAAACATCCTGGTTAAAATAGTTCTCTTCCTTTAGTCTCCTCACAGAATTTCATGGCTGTTCCACAATGACATGTCTTTGTTCACATACAAAAGCATTTAGGTTTTCTTATGGGACTTCCAATGGCACATAAAACTTAACCTTCCATTTGTAGACTTTGTTTCCCTCTAATCTGTCTCATGTTGATATAATTTTCAGGCCTCACCAGGGCTCTGAGAGAGTACAGCTTCAAGAACTTCAAAGCACTTTTGTTTAACCCTGGAATGTTTTCCTTAACATAACCACTGGAATAGAAGCAAAGTGTGATCAGCCACTCACCAGGCCCTGCGGTATGCATGGCAAACATCTTCCTCTGTGCTTTGAGGTCACAATTAGTATCTCTCTCTTTTGTTAAACTTTGAAACAGAAACTTGGGGTGTTGGTAGTTTTCCCATCTGGTTCCAAGTTCTTATTTCTTCCAGGACAATGCCCAATTCTATATGTCAGATTCTCCACCAGTGAGAAGAGAAACCCAAATAAATTGATATGCTTCCTAGGATTGTGATGGAAATTAAGCAAATCATACTTAAAAACCACTTGGAATAATGCCTGACCCATACCTATCTTCGTATACATCCTTAGCAGTTGTTATTGAGAATTACTGTTTAGTAGTGTTATCATGGTTATAGTTTCTACCCAAACATCCATGGCTTCATGTCAGTCTGTCATTGCCACATCTAACCTTTGTTCTAATGATGTCATTTTATAGCTGTATTTTTCTTACCTACATTCTTTTTTTTTTCTTGCCAGTCCTGGGGCTTGAATTCCAGGCCTAGGCACTGTCCCTGAGCTTCTTTTATTCAAGACTAGCACTCTACCACTTGAGCCAGCATCACTTCCAGCTTTCTCTGTTTATGTGGCACTGACTGAGGAATCGAACCCAGGGCTTCATGCATGCTAGACAAGCACTCTACCATGAAGCCACCTTACCAGCGCTCCATTCTTTTGGAGAGAGTTTTTTTAAACCGGAACCTTGGGGTCGGAGGCATGGCTCATTTGTTAGAGTCCTAGCCAATGAATGAAAACATGTGGTACCAAGTTGGAGTCCTGGATTCAGACATTTAAAAAAAGGAGAGAAAAGTGAAACCTTTCCTCATTTATTCTGAGATATGGCAATATGCTCCCCCAGTACGGTTGCTGCTGAGGACGCTGTGATTTCCACGTCACAAGTGTCACCTGACTGGTGGGGCTGCTCAGTAATTTAAATGAAGATCTTCACATAAAAAGAAATAACCAAGAACCAAATCAGTTGATGACAGCTTTCTTCTTATTTGCCATTTCTCTCTTATCTCTTGCTTTGCTGAAATCATTTGGCTCAAAGTACAACTGACCCTTCTGTTGGGACCTTTACGCAGTTTTAGATTGTGCAGGGCTTCTTGGAACTTAACTACTTATTATAATTTGCAAGAGAACTAAAAAGCAGATGAATCTCTTACTCTAAACCAATGAATGCCATGATGATACTCTTTTCTTAACAGGCCACTGTCAGGAGTCTACTTTTCATGTTGTTATTGCTATAAAAGAAAATCCCATCAGTAATTTAGAAATAGTAGAAGTTTATTGGTGCATGGATCTGGAGGCCAGGTAGCCAAGGGTCTAGGGGCCACATCTGTGGAAGAGATTGTTTTCAAGGAGGAAGTATTTGTTATGGCTTTTGATTTCAGAGGTTTCAGTTTCCTGGATCCATTGCTCTAGGTCTGGGGTGATAGAGAATATCATAGTGGCAGGGACATGTGACAGCGGATGCTCACTTCATGGCAGTCAGGAAGTAGGGAGGAATAGAAGGAAGGGGTTAGGGTCAAGTGTACCTTTCTAAGGTGACCCCTAGTGACTCACTTCTTCCAACGAGGCCCCAACTTCCACAGTTCTAGCCCCCTCTAGTTATCTATTCCAAATTTTTTTGGTCGGTCATGGGCTTGAACTCTGGGCTTGGGCGCTGTCCCTGAGCTCTTCAGCTCAAGGCGAGTGCTCTACCACTTGAGCCACAGCGCCACTTCTGGATTTCTAGTGGTTTATTGGAGATAAGAGTCTCATGGACTTTCCTGCCCGGGCTAGCTTTGAACCGCAATCCTCAGATCTCAGCCTCCTGAGGAGCTAGAATGACAGGCACGAGCCACCGGTGTCTGGCTTCTATTCCAAGTTTTAATCCATGACACAATCATCTCTGAAAACACCCTCAGAGATCACCTGGGCCTTTTTATTTTTCTCATGAGATTTTTATTTACAAGTAACAGGGTATAAAAAATTAACAGGTTCAAACCTTGAAATGTCAAGTCTAATGCTCTGTACCCTTGCTAACTTTCCTTATTTTTTAATATTTATTATTATAAAGGTAATGTACAGAGGGGTTACTGTTTCATAAGTCAGGTAATGAGTACATTTCTCTTTGGACAATGGCACCCCTTCCCTCACTCTCTCCCAGTTTTTTCCCTCCTATTCCTACCCACAAGTTGTATAGTTCATTTTCAGCATAGTGTCCAGTGAGTACCACTGCTGCATTTGTTCATCCTTTGTCCCTCCATTTGGTGCCTCCCTCCTTACCCAGCCCCAGACAGATAAACAAACAAGACAAAAAGGAAATAAAAAAAACCTCTCTTGTTTCCATTTCTTGGACTTCATTTTGATAAATAGTATTTTATATGATCAGAGGTACTGAGGACACTGCACCTTTGTGTTCCTCCCCTAAAAGAATATTCTTCTTTGGTCTCACTGTGTGAATGCCTAGAGTCCTGTATAACTTATCATGCCCTAGTGTACTTTAGATCTAGCTCTCACATGTGAGAGAAAATATGTACCATTGGTCTCCCTCTTGCTATACCAACACAGGTGGAATGCCTCAGCGGGTGAGAAAGTGTACTTGCAAAAGGGCTGAAACTTGCTTTAGTAACAGATCAGAATTCCCAGCTCACTCCAGAGATAATGGCAGCAATCCATTAGAGCCTTTTTGATTCCAGCCATAAGAGCCCCATCCCTACACTGTTACATTCTAACATGTGAACTTTTAAGAGACATATTCGAACCCTGACAGCATCTGTCAGGGTGGATGTTGGATCCTGGGTGGAACAGAAAGTTATTATTCATAGCTTCGCCAGAATTGAGCACACGTGCATTACAACATGGAGTTTAGTATTGTGGTTCTGCCACCATTATCAGACTCCATTTTCATATTAAATTAGAAACAAAAATGTTATGCTGGTTACATTTAATGAAATTTTAATAAGGTTGTGTTTTTAGGTTATTATTCAAATAATGTGTTCTCAATCGCTTTTCTTCGAATATATTTGCATTAAAGAGGAAATCAATTTGGTTTAGTTCTTTGAAGAGCTTACCCACTTTCTGGCTGGCTTTAAAAAGACAAAGGTGGCAGGATTCTGTCTCTCTTTTCTAAGTCAGTAAATGAAAAGAAATATATTTGTTAAAATCTGGAGATATAATGGCAGCCAACTGCTGATGGTTAGAGTTAATGAAATGACTCATTTTGGCTATTAAGAGTTACTTGATTAAAAACATATACAAACCACACACATCACAGATAATAAGGGATGATACTTGGATGTCCTTTCTTTTTTATTGAGCCTTAAAATGGAGAAATTTAGGAAATACCTATTACTGCAATTCTTGATCACTGATGCCCAAAATTAAGTGTTAATCTCTTGAGAGAGCAATTTTCCCCTGCTTTGTAGCATCCATCTTAACCATTTCATCTAAAATTCTAGTTATGGGTCCAAAGCAGTTTCTAGGACCATGTCTACCAAAAGATAAATTTGCCTGACTGAGCTAAAAACATTGGAAGCCAGGTGCCAGTGGTTCACACCTGTAATCCTAGCTACTCAGGAGGCTGAGTTCTGAGGATCTTGGTTTGAAGCCAGGCCAGGCTGGAAAGTCTGTGACACTAATCTCCAATCAAGAACCCAAAAAGTCAGAAGTAGAGGTGTGACTCAAGTGGTGGACCACTAGCCTTGAGTGAAAAAGCTCAGGGATGGTATTCTGGCCCTGAGCACCTAGGCCCTGAGTTCAAGCCCCAGGCCTGGCACACAAAAAAAGAAAAGAAAAAAAAACAACAGAAAAGGAAATGTGTTATTGGCATTCTGGTTTATTCATAGTTGATTGGCTGGTAAAGTTTAATGCAGAGAATCCAAGTTTGTAAAGCTCAGGTAAGAAATTCTCCTTTTGAGCAAAGGTTATCTCATAAACTCCTAGGCACAGCAGAGAAAATACCTGCTTCTAATGATCAGGAGCATGAGTCCCTGGGTTCAAATCCCAGTAATGTCAAAACAAAAACAACAAAAACCCAAGCAACCCCTAAGCATATGCGCCCCAGAGTTTAGCCGTGTACTTCTGAAGGGTTTTGGTTCAAGTGTTTTCAGTGACAACTACTGATAAGGCCAGACAAGCTGCAGCGGCCTCCCCCCTTCCCGCATGCGCAGGAGGAGAAGGAGCCACCGTGCCGCGGTCCCGCCGCCGCCGCCGCCGCGGGCCCGCCC